ACAAATACCTATGTAGTCCGTGTATTATGGTTCTTATGTCATTTTAGTTCATATAATTTCAATTGATTTGATTTTGACCCTGAATTTTGTCGTAATTTGATCCAATTAATTAAAATTCTTATAATTTTTTTTTTATAGAGAATACGTACATAAATGGTATGTATTATATTTTTAAGAGCAAATTATATATTTACTAAATTCAGTGAGTTGATTTCAACCAATACAGCAATTATTTTTCGTTAAAGATACCAACAGCATTATCAATTAGACCAAATTGACACAAAATTTAAAATTAAAAGTCAAAATTGAGTCAATTAAATGTGTAGAGACTAAAATGACATTAGGTGCAAAATGTAAAAACCACTAATGTAATTTGTCCATTAAATTATTTGAAAATGCACCCAAAATAAAAATAAAAATTTTAAAAAAACACTCGGAATTTTCACAATATAAATATTATACAGCACCCTGATTAAAAAAAATAAATAAATTCAGTTCATCATTAAAAAAATCATGGCAAAGTTGTTTACTGTACTCTACAGTGCACTTATTTGGTGGTGCAACTTGTTGTGCAACATCACTGCAGCCACTTCATCCACCTACCTCCTCACTGTTAGCAAACCAAGTATTTGTCTAATGTGATCATGATTAATCTCAGCGTAAATATTACCATAGAAGTTTACTTTGTCTAGTGTCGCCATGATTGAACTTGGCTATGGAAAACCTGAGTTAATCCTCTATGCCTCCTCCTCTATTTTTTCTTCTTTCTCTTTTCAAAAAATCTTCTTTATATAATTTTATCATGAAATTTTATTTTAGTTTGATCAAAATAGTCCATAGTACGAATTAATATACTAGTTTGCAACTGTAGAATTTTCCAAAATCTTACTCATTGATCAATGCTTGGAAACTTTTTATAGTCGTTACCGGAAATTCGAGTTTTAGCGACATTTTTAAAATGCTGCTAAAAGACTGAAAAACACTGTAAAAATTTCCAGCGACATTTAATATTTTTGTCGCTAATATTGCCGCTGCAATAGTTTTCTCATGTTTAAAAAACGTTTGCTAAAACTATTAGGCGGCGTTTTTTAAAACGCCACAAAATCTTTGACGTTTGCTTCAACTTCTGTCATAAACTAACGTATGGCATCCTAATAACTAGGGATGACAATTTGAAACCGGCCCGACGGGGATCCGCGATCTCGACCCCGATTTAAGCAGTTTTTCCCCGAAAAATGCCCCCGACGGGGAGAAGACAGTATCTGAAAATCAATCCCCGATCTGTTTCGGGCCGGGGACGGTGATCAGTGTTTAAGCCCCGGCGCCGGCCCCATCCCCGAATTTTCCAGAAGTAAAATTACTTTTATACCCCTTATATATATATATATATAAAATAAACCAAATCGTATATTATATTTATAATAAACCAAATCTGTGTTGCTCTCACACTCACTCTCTAACTCTGATATATCTCTCTCTCTCACTCTCGCTCTCATCTCAACTCTCTCTCACTCTCTCGTTGTTCTCTCTAGCCCCGACCCCTCTTTCTCTTACCGACGGCGACATCACCACCACCGCTAGCCCCGACCCCCCCTCTCTCTCACCAACGGCGACATCACCACCACCGAACCTACCGCCACAGCCAGCCACTCTCGATCTCGCGCCTAGTCACTGGCGTCGCTCAGATCTGTGCCAGACGATGGATCTGTCTCTGTTAGATCTGTCTTTGTGTGTGTGTGTGTGTGTGTGTGTGTGTAATCTGATCTGTGTGTTCTGATCTGTGTGTGTGCGTGATCTGATCTATGATTAATTTTTTTTTTTAATTTAAATCTGTAAATTTAGATCTGTAATTTTTTTTTTAAATTTAAATCTGTAAATTTAAATTTAGATATGATTTGTTGTTCTTGTGTTGAAGCACGGGGAGTTTTCGGGGTCGGGAAAACCCGATCCCCGTTAGGGGACGGGGACGGAGGGGTGATGGGTTCCCCCGCCAGGGATTGGGGGCGGGGACGAGGACTTTTCAGCCTTCGAGGATCGAGGACGGGGAGTGTAGTCCCCGGCCCTGCCCCGCCCCGTTGCCATTCCTACTAATAACGTCATTTAGTGGCGTTTTTTCAAAGAACACCACCTTTTTTCTTTTTTTTCTTTTTTTGGAAATAATAGACAAAAAGTTAAAAAGTTGCTAAAAAATCAAAAAATTAACACTATTCACTAATCAAAAAAGTCAGCCTACATAGAGGGCAAAAGGACTAAAAAAACCCTTAATGACATGCACAAATTTTTTTTAAAAAATAAATAAATAAAAATAAAATAAAAAAAACAGCGCAGCAGTTAGCAGCACAGTTTACTGACGCAGCATAGTGCAAGTCAGTGCTCAGAAGGGCACTTCGGTAATTTTGTTAGTTGATACAATATTTTAATACACATTTTTTAATAAAAAGTAAAAAAGTTATCCCAAACATACATCTTTTTTTCCTCTACATTTTTAGTCAAAAAGTACACTTATATAGTTCATCCCAAACAACCCCTATAAGTATAAGCTAAAGAATTTAACTAATTCCTCCAAAAAAAAAAAAAGAAGCTAAGATGGCAGCTTGAGAATTTAACTAAGAACACAAATGGCTCAAATTTACATATCTATACGCCAACCATGCATCAAGCTAATCACAATTTTTATATATCCAATATAATTGCACATTTCTTGAGATTTTTACTACACAAAATATATGTACTCTTCAATCCAAAATTTTTTTAAAAAAAATCGCCAACTTTTCGCAGAGCTCAAATGCTTTAAACATGTTGTGACTTCGGCACACTGAGTTTGTCAATAGAGATGATCTGATTGCCATGAAGGGTTTTGATGCCATATCTAAAGTCTTAATTCACTAACACAAAACTTATATCTCCAAATCCTGAAATTTCCACACAACAAAAAAAAAAAAATGAAAATTCAGATTCTATATCATCACAAATTTGTCCTTGGATCCTTAATCATAAACATAATAATAAAAAATAGTACATAAGACCGCTACTGCATTAACATTTGAAATAGGGCAAAATTTGTCTAAATAATCTCAATCAGCTTCCTTTTCACTTGCTAGCTTAGTAAGTATTAACTTGGATCTTGGGATTACAAAAATTGAAACAAGTTTGAAAATGAAAGAGTTGAAAATAAATCAAACATAATGAAGTTGTGAAGTGGTGGGGTTTTCAGTGGGTGATGCCAAACTCTGTGGAAGGGCTGTTGCACTGGTGGTCATTTTGCAAAATGAAAAAGAATGAGAAAATGCTATGGAAGGTTGTGCCTTTGGCTGTTTTTTGGTCCACATGGAAACATAGAAATGACTGTGTCGTTAATGGCTCTTAGCCAAACTTGGAGGAATTATGTGAAACTGTCAAAGCAAGAATAGCTTTGTGGGTTAAATCTTCCCCAGCCAAAGTGGTGTTCTCTATGAATGATATAGTTTTCAATTTACATCAGGTTCAATTTTGTAGTAGGCAGGGGAGTTGATCTGTGAGCTGCTGTGTTTTGTGATCTGCTTTTTTTGGACTATCATTAATCTGGAGCCTTTCTGTATTGGTTTGCTATGTGGGTGTAGCAGTGGAGGTGTCATGGGCTGTGAGTGTGGCCTTGTTGTTGTGATTTGTTCTGCTGTGACCTCGTTGTGATCTGTTTTATACTGCTGCTGTTATGCTGTGAGTGTGGCTTGGGTATTGTTTGGTGCTTGTATGGTGAACTGTACTAAATGTCATGCTGTGCACTATTGTTATGTTTTGTGCTTGTATGGTGAACTGCCATGGTGCTTCTATGGTGAACTGTACTGGTTTACTGTATGGTGAACTGTATTGGTTTCTGATTTCAAGTATGCTCTACTGTTTTGAATTGCCATTCTGGTGTTGCTGCTATTTGAGGGGTTTTTGTTTGCCACAGTTTTGGTGTGGCCTCGTCTGTTGGCCTTGTCTGGTTCTACTAATCCAGCTTCTACTTATTCTGGTTTCCCTATCTATCTGTGTTGTTCTCTGTTTGATCTGTTGGTGGATGTTCTTTGTTTGATCTGTTATTTGGTGGCTGTTATTTAGATGCCATTGCAGTGGATTGATAAGCGATTCACGTTCTATAAATTAGAATGTTCTTCATCAGTTTTCCCAAGAAAACATACATTGAATTCTTTGAAGCCCAATTTCTGTTGTGCCAATGTTCTTTTTAAGGATATTCTTGGCTTATTGGATGCCACTCTCAGTGTTCTGTTAAGGCCATGCTTCCATAGCACTTATTGCTGTCTCAGTAACAACAAATGCCTGCTCTGCATAAGTATACCTGCTCTGGTTGATGTGTCTGGTTGTTGGTTGGTCTGTTTTTTTTTTCTTTTTCTTTTTCGTTGGTCTCTCACCAACTCAAGGGTGCTAGCAGATGGTATGATGAGCTTTTTGGTGCCAACCTAGTTGGGATGATTTAGTTCATTGTGATACTTTTGCACTCCCCTTTTCTTTATTGATGTAATTGCGTTGTACCTTGTACTTGTTTATTCCATCAATAAAAAAATAAAATATATCAAAGCCTTGAAACTCAATTGCAAAAATGGGCTAAAATTGCATTGAATTTTGAGCACATATATGATCAGTAGATCTTAAAATTTTGTAACTATGAAAGGAATATGACAGAGCAAAGGAATCAAGTCTTCTAATGTATGCGGTTAGAGACAGAGAAGAAGTGGAAATTTGAGCAAGGCATAGAATAACTATGAACAAATATAACCTCAACCTTGAGCTACATCAAAACTATGCTCTATTGCAATGTCTTTATGGGTAAAATTAGGGAAGGCTCAAAAAATTTTCAAAAATAGAAACAGAAAATGAAATACCTAATTATAAGAAGCAAGGTTGAAATTATGGTTGAGCAACCTCCTCACCTCTAAAAAAAAATGAAATATCTATATGTGCGCTGTCTCTTAATCTCTATGACTGTGTGTGCATATCCAATCAATAAGAGAGACAAGATAAGAAATTGAGAACACATTCCCAATGCAATATCAGTTCTTCAATATTCAATCAATGCCCAAATCTGATAGTTCATCCAAAGCAATATATAGGCAAACCAAACTAATAAATTCCAATAAGGAAACAAATATAAACTAAGAATAAAATCCTAAACAAATTCAACTTCATTAATAAATTAAAATTCACAAATAAACTAAAATTAGGAACAGTCCTAATCTTGAGTTCAGTAGATTCCAGTGGCCTTCTTTCATTGATTTTGTTATATCTGCTTCTTCTTCTTTATCTTTCCTTTCTTTGATATGTGAACCTGCATTTGACAAAAACAAATAACATGAATAAAATGTCATATTAAAAATTAATTAATTGATTATACAAATATACATACCATACATTCAATTAAATGAATGTTACACCGAAGATGAAATTGTTCTGAAACAAAAGTCAAAATGTGGCGAATATGCTAACTGTAAGAAGAAATCTCAAAGGAGTGAGGCACCCATGTAATCTACTGACCTCTCAACAAATGGATATTCTCAAATATATGACACTCCAGAAACTAAATATCATTAACACATTATCAACTGAAAAGTTGATCTAGAAAGCATATCACAAGCCAAACAACAAGATAAGTAGATATAGAAACTTACAAAGGTCATTGACATTCAAATAAAAGACAGGGATCAAATGAATATTAACTAGTTTTCCCCCCAAACATATTGCAATGCTAAAATCATAAATAATCTAAAGAACTAGAACAACAAGATCATCACAAATTATATAAACTAGTAATTTTTTTTTTATAAAAAAAAACTAAATTATATAAACTAGTTTACAACTCAAACAGTGTCAGGACAAAGAGGAGAGAATGATTCTCCCAATATGTGGACACGAATTTATTAGCAAATGAAATCTAAGAAAATGAATAATGATTGATTTGAAAAATGTACCTGGGATGAAGAGCAAGAGAGATGGATCTGGTTCAAGAATGATAACGATCTGATCTTACCTGAGAATAAAAAATTAGAGAGTTAATCAGCAGATCTAATTTGACAATGAGAAAGTATAGAAGATGATAGTTCAAACTCGAACACCGATTAAGAGAATGAAAAACGTACCTAAGATGAAAAGTCGATCTGGTTCAAGAAAGATATCAATTTTGGATCTGCGATTTGCAAACTCAAGGTTGGAGCTAATAGCGAGAGAGATCGAGTTCGAGTTCAATGAAGAACAACTAGAGCAAAGCCCTTGAGCGACAGAGATCAATGAAGAACAGCTAGAGAGTTCAATTGCGAGTGACAGAGATCGATGAAGCGCAAACCATGGTGTTACTTTGTGGGATATCGGCATTTTTTTTTTTTAACAAATTTTTTTTTTTGTTTTTTTTTTTGTTTTTTTTTTTTTTTTTTTTTTTTTTTTTTTTGAAGTAAAACACAGAAACACGGTTCGCCGTTATGTGCACTAAAAAGTGGCGTTTCCTAAAACACCATTGTATGAACGCCATTATAACCCCATATTCGTGTACTGCATTGTGATACCTCACTTGAAGCTACAGAAATTATTGGAGGACTTTAGAAGTAACCTTGCGCAGCAAAAGAATAAGCATGATTTAGTTCACTTACCCAATAAAGAAAAAATGCTTTAGTCCACTTACCCAATAGATTGGAATAAAAATAAAAATAAAAAAGAAAGAAAATGAGAAATTGAAATTGAGATGTTTCAAAAGAGGGAAAGATACATTTTGATAGAGTAATGCCATATATAAATGGATTTTTCACTATATTATTTTTATCATTAGACACAAAAGTATTGAAATTCACATTAATAAATACAAGTGAAATCCGTGTCTTTGTATTTAGTACTAAGAAAACCAGGTAAGAAATTCATTTACGTATAATATTTTTCATTTTGGTATACAGATGCATAGCTCAAGAGTAGGGGTGAGCAGCGGATATACCGATCCGCCAAAACTGACCGAACCGAACCAATCCGCCACATTTTGGACGGATGCGTGATGATGAGCGGACGGTTGCGGATTGATTTTCTCCAATCCGCCAATTTGGCGGACGGATGGCGGATTTAAGATTTTTTGGCCGCAACCGAACCGCCAAACCGCCAAATCGCGAGCACCTGTAGTAATTTATAAGACTTTGTATTTTCAATTTGTTTAAATATTATGTTTGTGTTTTCAATTGAAAAAGAGTTTAAATATTCTGTTGAAAAAAAGTTTTCAACTTGAATATATTTTTGAATTGAAAAAAATAAACGTATTATTCATTTATATTTTTTAGTTTTTAAATCTAACTCTAAAAATAATAAATAAAAAATATGATATATGCTGGTTGGTTTTTGTTTTCAAAAACATATGTAGATGTAACAATATAGAGACATTCAATCTCTACTACTGCTCTGTTTATGGTTTTGGTGGTTTGAATTGTTATTATATTTTAAGAATCACAGATTGTAATACTTTATAGGGATGAATCATGCTGTGATTGTAATATGTGGATGAAGCATACAGTGATCGTGATATTCTAAAGTTTCAAACTTTCTTTCTTTGGATAAAGCATACAGTGATTGTAATACTTTTTTAAGTCATTGACTGTAATACTTTTTTTTTTCTTTTTTTTTTTAAGGAAGTGCACAAGTTGAATTATGTTGAAAATTTATAAAATTTTAAACCGCCAAACCGATTCGCATCCATCCGCCAAACTGCCAATCCGCTCAATCCACATCCGCCGGATTGGCGGACGGATGCGGATTGATTTTCTTCAATCCGCCAATCTGGCGGACGGATGGCGGATTGGAGGTTTCGTGGCCGCAACCGACCCGCGCCCACCCCTACTCAAGAGGGTATGATACACACCTTTAGCTTTCATGTTGCAAAATTTCTTTCAACTTCCTAGTCTTGGTTCAACCTTTCATTCATGTAAGTATTTTTTATTTAACGCAATTCGCTAATAACACTTCCCATTTCTATTTGATCCGTTGGCGATTCCATTGAACATGCAACCCCAATTCTCATAATAGAAACCATGTAGTCTTTAATCCAACTTCTTGCGTTATGCTCCAATAGGATGGAGAGATTTGCAATCTCCATCACTCAATCAGTCAAAGTATTTTGAACGAAGTTATGAAAATTTAAATGATCTTTAAACATATTGCCGTTTGGCCTCCTATCTGAAAAAATCTCTAGTAAAAGAATTCTAAAATTGAATACATCCTTTAATGTGGAAGTCATGTCACCCATGCCATATTCTGCAAGTTGTTTGCAACAATGATAGAGGGGCCTAATTTTTGTGGCTCAAATGGCTCGAATTTGTCAAAACGACGTCGTTTTGAGTACAAAACAACATCAAAATTGCCAATACGACGTCGTTTTGGCAAATTTGAGCCATTTGAGCCACAGAAATTAGGGTCCTCAAACATTTTCCGTGTGAAAAGTGAGTCTAGTTATAGTTGACATAGCTGTAATCCCAACAGATAAATGTATTTAATAATTTTTTTCAATGCAATCCAACAGTATTTTTAATGCCGTGTCAGACTCAAATCTCCTCTCCATTATCGAATGTATATACAATAATCATATAATTATATCATTATTTTAAAATAAGAAAAAATTTATTACACTTATTGAATCAAATTTTTACAATCAATGAATGATGTAACGGCCATTTAACGGAGAGAATCTCAACACATATTTGATATCTCTCGATAACAATAATTTTTGTTTGTGTGCACGAGTGACCGAGTGAGATTATTGTTGAGAATGATGCAGTTTAATTGTATTTCTCATTTAAGCAAACAGAAATTAAAGTCTCGTTTGTTAACTATACATTTTAGTCAAAAAGTCACTATAAGTTATCACATTATATTTTCTATTTTTTTACATATTTTTTTTAATAAAAAATAAAAAAATTATCAAAATAATATATTTCCAAACGAGTCCAAAGTCTTGGGAAAAGATCTGTCAGAATCAACTCAAAGTGATTCAATTGCAATAAGACGCTGCTCCAGATACAAATATCTTTCCAATTTCCTTTGAATGAAAAATTTGAGCTTGCATTAGGAAAATTAAACTAAGCATTCCCATGGTTTGGTAGATTAGATTGTCAATGATCCTAGACTGTGCTGACAAGTGAAACATATATTCAGAAATTGCTTTGGATTCATCAATATTTTTTTTATTTTTTATTTTGACAAACAAAACAAATTAAACAAATTACGATTATCAAATCAACTTATTTTTATTTTGTGAATGATATATAAGAAAATTTTTATAAAAATAAACGATTTAAATCATTAAAATTAAACCCGAAAAATATGCTATTGTCCAAATCTGAACCGGAGAGCTACTTCCTATAATTAAAATATAAATAATAAATTAAATATATAGGTTATGCGGATTACACATGGACGACCTTAAAGTCTTGGGTCTCTTTAAAAAAGAGACATGGCTTACAATTCTCTTACAAGATAATGGACCATTTGTTGTCTTGTTTTTTGTTTTTCATTTTTGTTTTTGGCAAAATGCGTCCACCCACTTGCTGTCTTGTAAACGTTAGGGAGTTCTTTAATTAATTTTTTTTTTCATGGTCACATTTTGAAAGAGGTACAATAATTGACCAAGAAGAAAACCTAGTGTTAATAAAAAATTGGGTTGGTGTTGATGGACAGAGGTCAATCAACAAATAAATCAAAAATTTATTAAAAAAAAAAGAAAAAAAATTCAGTTTTGTGGTTGTGTTCTATATTTTGAATGGTTCAATGTTTTTGAAATAAATCAATAAAGAAAAATAAATTGAAATTAAATTGAAACAACTAAAATTATTACTGATTACAAGAATCGGAAAACGATTAAAGACTTATTGAATTAAAACTATTCCTAGAGAAGAGAAATTTACTCCTAATTGAACTAGTTTAGATAAAATTGATGTGTTGGTTGATGTTGATTCCTATTTATAGGCTCATATTTCAATTGTTAGATAATTTCTTGCCCACCATGAGCCACGAACTAACAACAGCTTCCACGGATTCACAAACGATACCTCACGTTTCACTTTTTCTTCCTTAGTGCTATGACCCACAATTGATAGAAAAATAATTTATGTTGTCAACACCTAGCTATAGATAGGAAAATTCAAATTATATATACACATTGCACACTCGAACGTCATCATACGTAAATGCCCTAATTCATTCCAAAAAAGAAAAAAGAAAAAAAAAATCATAACAAGGTACAAGAAAAAATAAGTTGATTTGATAATCGTAAAACAATCTTGGTTTAATGCCGGTAAAACAATCATTTTATGAATAACAAAAGTTAATGATTAGGCCTCGTTTGGGAACAGGCTAATTTAGTAACTTTTTTGGTTATTTGGCTAAAATATGAGCTAAAAAAAATTAGTATGTTTGGGATGACTTTTTGATTTTTTACGAAAATATGTGCAAAAAGTAGAGAGAAAAAAGAATCTTTGACTTTTTAGTATGGATTGTTAGCTTTTTGGCTAATTTAGTAACTTTTTGACTTTTTGGCTAAAAATGAGGGTTCCGAAACGAGGCCATTCCTTCAAATACTTAAAACTTGGCTAATTGAAACTACAAGAAAAAAAGAAAAAGAAAAAAAGAAATAGTTATACACAAGGCCATCTCCAATCTTTCATCAAATGTTTCATCAAATTTAAATTTGATGAAAACGGTACTCCAACGTTTCATCAGATTGATATCAAATGAAGGGAGCGCTATATTTTTCTTAAATCAAGAGAGTTTTTATCCTTTCATCAAATTTTGCAGGTAGCTGTTGGTGGACGACCGGCCAGACAATTGGATTTTGGGATGAATTAGGAATTTTGTAAAAAGATTTGATAAAAATTTACTTTTACTGGACAATTGACAAAATGACCGGCCAGATGACTGCCCAAATTGATGAAAACTTACTCTTCATCGTTGGAGTGCATCATATAAGATACAAAATTTTATCAATTTTTTATTTAAATTTAATATAAAATTTGATGAAACGCTGGAAATATTCTAATAAAGTTATCTTTACAATAATTCTTCATAATGATAACTCAATACTTTTTTTTTTCCTCTCTTTTCCATGGAGGTTCCAATCCATCTGCTTGAATTGATTGCTTTTTAATGTTGCAATAAATCAGGCCCTAAAGACACGCTACAGTTGACCCATTCATGCTTCATATAGCAATTTTTCCCCCAAAGGGTCGGGCTTCCTTTCGGTACTCATTTGGATATTATTTGGACTCGTGAAAATTATTA